ACGCTTAAAATAAAGGTAACAGGTACGATAAACAGCACTAAACAACACTGACCCCTCTGACAAGAGGCATCTGCTAAGAATCTATGACTGCAATGGATTCTTATTTAGGCAGCTGAATTTCTTGAAGAGGCTCTAACAGAGATGAAAATGGCAAAACACATGTAAAGAAGATTTGCTTTTGTAGGGTCCTAATGCTCTTACGACACCTTGACATGTCACCTTCTTTTTCTATTTTTTTAGGGTTATCATAGATAATACTTATGTTCAGTGGATGTATGAACAGAGTGAATAAATGAATGAGAATGAATAAATGAATGACTGAATAGATTTGCAAGAATGACCTTCCTAAATGATAGATGTCTACATAGCAAACGACTGAATGTCGAAACTTGCCCTTCTATCCAGACCATCGTCATTAGTGTTGCAGAGAATGCAAAAACCAACTTTGTTACCATTTTTTGCAGATATCATTTCTGTTCCATGCCCTCATTTACACAATCATTCAAATCGAACATCAAACAAAATTTGCATTTAGAATTTATGAAATTTGCAAAGAGAAAAGGACCAAAACAAAAATCCCAAGCCTTTTTTCGTTGATTTTCTCATATATGTACGTGTAAAAGCCCGTACAACCATAAAGTGAATGCGATTTTCTCTTCCTCTCTCTCTTCTGCTCTCTCACACGATTAATTCCGTCGAATTAATCGCCAGACAACGTGCGATTCGAGCAATTAACGTTTCCTACTGCTACATGGTCTACTAAAATCTGCAACAAATGTAAAACTGCCACTTAACCAAGAAAGAGTTGAACTTGTATGAAGTAAGAAATTTCTGTTGTTGTGGTTTTGGCCTTCACGAGATACTCAAGTATGAAGAATAAAAAGCAAACTTGGAAATTCAAGTGAACACTGTTCGCGTGTGGGGTTGAGTGGTTTGATTTAAAGGAAAACATTCGTTCGAATGGGTTTTTTATGATTCAACTAGAAAAATAGGATGGAATTTCTCTAAAAATGAAATGACGACAATTTAGAAAGAATAATAGCTATTTATAGTATTAGGAAAAGTTGCTTATACATAAAGTTCTGAAATGAAGTTTTACTGAAAATAAAAGAAAATGGCAACAAATGGGAAATAAATGCTTATAGATGCGTTTTCTGCAAATGTATTAATTAGCCTGATAAATGATTGGAAGGATAAATCGATG